TGCTGTCCCTGTCCTGGGAGTGTTTGATGGGGGGACAGTGTAGCGGGAGCTTTACTCTGTATCTAACCCTGTGTTGGAGCTGCTCTGACACCGTCTGTTCCATTTGGTTGTTATTCACAGAGTTTCAGGATTAAGCCTCCGATGTGTATCTCTGAGGAGGACGTTGATTTTGCTGTGTCTGTATTCCGAGTTGCTCTACAGAAACAAACCAGACGAAGATTGCAGAAACTGTAGCTGAGATTAACACAGCCTTGCACAGATGCACAAAAATGACCCAGAAATAGCTTCAATAATGTCAACTGCTTCAACTGCTTTCCCAATGTCTGTCAAACATATCCATCAAATCTCATGCTGCTTCAACCAGCTATTCCTGGAACAACATCATGGTCTGTGCCTGTCTCCTCACTCTGACATAGAACAGTACAGCACAGGAACAGGCCCTTTGGCCCATCATGTCTGTACCAACTATGATCCTTTGACAACCTTCCTCACTATTGATAACTCCACCAATTTTTGTGTCATTTGCAAACTTACTAATCAAACCTCATACATTTTCATCCAAATCATTGATATAAATTACAAACAGAGGTCCCAGCACTGATCCTTGTGGAACACCACTGGTCACAGACTTTGAGTCAGAGAAACACCCCTCCACAACGACCCTCTGTCTTCTATGACCAAACCAATTCTGTATCCAGCTTACAGACTAACTGTGGATCTCATGTGACTTAATCTTCTGGACCAGACTACCATGTGGAACTTTGTCAAATTCTTTAACAAAATCTATGTAGACAACATCCACTGCCCTACCTTCATCAATCATCTTCACCACTTCCTCAAAAAACTTAAATTTGTGAGACAAGACCTCCCCCTCCCAAAGCCTTGCTGACTATCCCTAATGAGTCCATTCTTTTCCAAATGCAAGTAAATCCTGTCCCTAAGAATCTTCTCCAATCATTTCCCTATCACTGATGTAAATCGCACCAGCCTATAATTTCCTGGATTATCCCTGTTGCCTTTAAACAAAGGAACAACATTGACTACTCTCTAGTCTTTTGGGTCCTTGCCTGTGGCTAAAGAGGATACACAGAACTCTGTCAAGGCTCCTGCAATCTCCTCCCTTAACCACCCCAACCCCTCCACTTAGTTTTCTGGGATAGATCCCAACATGCCCTGGAGGTTTATTTACTTTAGATAACAAGGTGTAGAGCTGGATGAACACAGCAGGCCAAGCAGCATCAAAGGAGCAGGAAGGCTG